GAGGCTGGGGCCAGCACTGGGCTGGCCCCAGAAGCCTTACCTGGGGTCCCAGGCAGCTCCAGGGGTTGCAGCCATGGCAATTCTGTTGCACATAGTCTGGATGGCAGCACAGTGCAGCTCTGGGCGGGCCAGCTCCACTCTACAGCAGCAAGCACTGGCCGAGCATGCATTGCTCCAGGGGGGGTTTCCGGGGGGGGCTGGCCCCTGAATATCCAGAGGTCAACAGAGCCCATGGAAAAAAAAGCCAATGGAAAAAAACCTGGTGCAGTGCACATTCAGCCAGCTTGCTTAATGGGCTTGTGTTTGCAGCACCACATACTGCATGACCACGCTCATCTGGATGTGCCCATGGTAGGAAAAACAAAAAAGGATCATGGAAAAAAAAGTGGTGCAGCACACACTACAGATTGGTCCTGTAGCGGGACACTCCGGCTACTGGCCAAAGCATATCTATGCTCCATTTGTGCCCCAGCTGCTCCAGCAGAAGTCAGGAGGAGCTGGGTAAACACAGTTTGACTGCAGCAAGATAAAGCATCCCACAACAAAGAGCACATGCAGGGGCATGCGCTGTGGCACAAATTTATGCTGCTACTATTTGATCCACTGCAAGTGCTCACTCTGTTTGTCTGGACTTGGCCACAGGCTTCTAACTTATAGCTCAGTGCAAGATCCCTTTGAGAAAAGATTAACAATAATGGTAATCTCCTCCACCCTGTGAGAATTTGTGGAGGGCAGGAGAAATCCAGAAAAACAAAGAAGGAAAAAGTAATAATACTTGTCTTTAAAATGGGAAAACATGAACAATTATAGACTAGGCATCCTAGCTTCAATCCCCTGAAAACATCTTGAACAAATTACTGAACAATTAATTTACAAGTACCTAGAAGATAATAAAATGATTTAAAAAAAAGCCAGCCAACATGACTTTGTCAAGAAGGGTTATGTCACACCAATCTAATTTCCCTTTTTGCTAGGGTAATTGGCCTTGTGGATAAGGGGGAGGTGATAGATGTAATGTATCTTGACTTCAGCTAAGATATTGATGCTGTCCCACATGACAGTCTCATAAACAAGCTAACAAGGGCTACCATAGCTTGATTCCATCTGTCATAGATTAAGATTAAGTGTAGTCTAGGTATAATCACCATCAAGTGGATGCATAACTGCTTGAAAAATTGCTCTACAAGAGGTTCTAAATGGATCTCTGTCAAACTGGGAGGGTATCTCAAAGGCCTTCTGCAGGGGTAGATTTGAGCCCCATTCTATTCAGTATTTTCAATTACTTCCACGCTGGACTAAAAGCTCTGCTTTTAAAACGTGTTGCAAGCCCATTGGAAGATAGGATAAGAATTCAAAATGATCTTGACATTTTAGCAAGATGGTCTAAAATCAACTTGATGAAATTCAATAAAAACAAACGTAAACATTACATTTAGGAAGGAGAAATCAAGAATAAAGATTTAAAGTGGGGAATATCTGGCTGGCAACAATATGGCATTAAAAGTACCTGGGGTTATAGTGAATCAGGGCTATCCAGCTTTTAAGTTGTCAGGAGCTGTGTGCCCTACAGACTGCACTAGTGGGGGCCATGGGTCCCCAGGAACACTGATATTGATTTTATGACATGATGATTTACCCGATTCTTGAAATTCTTCCTACACACTACAGGTAATAATAACCCTTCTCCTTTTTCACAGATCTCATTCTCCCAAATTTCTTTTCTTCTGCTAATAGTTTGCCTGCTACCCCTGGGAATTTCTCCCCCATCCAATTTCATAGCTCTAGCCACTATTCTTAACAATCACTGTGCTTGCTTCCATCTCCAGACCTGAGGAAGCATGTTTTGCATTCAAAAGCTTGTCTGGATGCATGGGATTGTTCCATCCAAAGTGCAGGACTTTGCACTTCTCCATATTGAACTTCATGAGATTTATTTTGCTCCCATCATCCAATTTGTCAAGATCTCTCTGAAGCCTAGCCCTGCCCACCAACATATCTACTATTCTACCTAGTTTGGTGTCATCTGCAAACTTGCTGAGAATGCACTCCATCTCATCTTCCAGGTCATTGATGAAGATTTTGAACAAAACCAGCCCTAGGACTGACCCCTGGGACACTCCACCTGATACCAGCTAACAATTAGACATCAAACCACTGATTACTACCATTTGATCCCAATGATCCAGCCATTTTTCCATCCACCTTATAGTCCATTCATCCCACCTATACTTTTTTAACTTCCTTGTGAGAATGTTGTGGGAGACCTATACCAAAAGCCTTACTGAAATCAAGGACTATCACATCCACCTCTCCCCGCATCCACAGAGCCACTCATATTATCATTAAAGGCAATCAGGTTGGTCAGTCATGACTTGCCTTTGATGAATCCATGATGACTGTTCCTAATCATCTTCTTCTCCTCCATGTGCTCAGAAATTGATTCCATGAGGACCTGCACCATGATTTGTCCAGGGACTGTGGTGAGGCTGACCAGTTTGAAATTCCCTGGATCCTCCTTTTTCCCTTTCTTAAAGATGGAC